CCCCCCCCCCCCCCCCCCCACACACACACACACACACACACTTCATGTTTCTGAGCTGAACTCTTCTCAGCTGAATTCATTGCTGTGTTGTTGCTCCTGCTGCTACGACTGCCTTCTCGGTTGTCCAAGTAAGGACAATCCATCCATTTATTTTATGAAAGTAAATTGGACTGTCTTTTCAACATTTTGATTGCTGTTATTTTGACAAATTGGTGCCGTTGTGGCAGATGGCTGCCCATTCTGATCCTGGTTTTGCTGGAGGTTTCTTCCTGTTTAAAAGTGAGTTTTTCCTTTCCACTGTCGCCTGTGCGGTGCTCAAAATGGGAAGTTGCAAAAAAGTGAAGATTGTACGCAATCTGCTGACTTCTTTATACAATAACATTTCACTATTTGGCATTTTTTTATGCATCTAAATGTTTTTGTATGGAGACCTGAGACAAAATTTGTTGTGCACTGATGCTATACAAATAAACTGAATTGAATGTACCATACTGCAGTATATACAGTGTTTACTTTAGTCATAATTTACCTCTGATAATGCCCGTCAGATGGAAGTTGGGCAATCTGAGAAAGGAACAAGGATCACTGTTCATCAGGTCTCCTGCCAAGCCCTGCTTCAGCTCTAAATGTGACTTTAATTTATTTGGTGCAGCCCGTTATAATCTACTTCCTTGCTCACTTGGCATGTTAAGTACATAACTTGTCATTCATGCATTCAGCGTCACACTGTGTGCAACTTAAAGAGTATGCAAAAACTATTGTGACAAACGCAAAACATTTTCTATGAAACTCAAAACTTGTTAAATTCAAAATGACTGCAAACGCAAAACCATATTGAGGGAATGCAAAATTATTGCAAGGGAACACAATAAGTATTGCAAGGGAATGCATAACTATTTTGAGGGAACACAAACAGAAACTATTACAGGGACATAAATATTGCAAGGGAACAGTATATTTTTTTCTGACACAGCACTCATGTGGCTCCGTAAACTACAATTTAAACCATTTGAATACGTTTTTGGTTTCAGGATTTGCACTCGATACAAGAGCAGCTTTCAGATGTTGAAAAATAACTATTTTTCCGAGTTCAATAATATCAGTATCCTAGAAAAAACATCATAATGTTGTTATTACTGAACGGATATTTTTAAACTTGTTGTCTATGCTTTTAAGTAAAACATTCCACTTGTTTTGTGCCACTTGGAGTTTGGTGTCGCTCGGCGCTCTGTTAATAATCCTACGTTAGCCGCTAGTTAGCGGCTAGCTAGTTACGCAGCAGCTCACTGTCTTCGGTCAGCTAATCAAACATCGGACCAAAGCCTGACAAAATTCAGTGGGTTTTAGTTTTTCCTGCCCTAAGATGAATTTTAGCCGTTGAGTTCAGCGGTCGGTGCTCAGCAGAAGAACCGTGAGACGCGGATGTTTCCGTCAAACGGTTTAACAAGGTTCGTTTGCGGCCCCATTTCCCGTTTTTGGACGAGCTAGCTTATCAGCTAATCGAGGATAGTCTGTTAGCATCGACTGATGGCGGAGCTTCGGAGCCGCTGGTAAAAAAAAAAAAAAAGGTACGTGTAAATATTTGCGACGAAAAAACTGATTTTTCAATCTACATACACAAAATATACACATTAAGTATTGGATTTTCTAATCTATAGAGTCAAACTATTGGAGTTTTAACACGATTTGACATTTAGCCGAGCTCCTTCCTTCTTCCAGGGTTTCTCACTTTCTGCCAGCCAACTATCGAAGGTTTAAATATAAAATTTTATATTCGCGTTTTTATTATTTTATTATGTAAATAACATGTTTACTACTGATGTAGATTAGTAATAATCTATAATCCTTTAATAAATTAAGGCTAGTGGCAACATGAATGTAATGGTTAGCCTTTAAAACAAGCCAACATCACCAGATTAACGTGTTTTTGGTTAGTTAGGCTAAAGAAGGTTAGTTAAATGATATGGGAGGGCTAGTTAAGTTAAAGGAAGGTTAGTTAAAGGTGAGGAAGGTTATGAGAATTAGTTAAAGGTTAGAGAAGGGTTACCGTATTTAGGTTACAGAAAGGTTAGTTAAAGGTTAAGGAAGGGTTATTTAGGTTAAAAGAGGGTTAGTTAAAGCTTAGAGAATGTTAGTCACGTTAAAGGCAGGTTATTTAACAGAGGGTTAGTTAAATGTCAGAAAATGGTTAGGTTAAAGGTTAGAGAAGGGCTATTCAGGTTAAAGGAGGGTTAGTTAAATGTTTGAAAATGGTTATTTAGGTTAAAAGAAGGTTAGTTAAAGGTTTATGGTTCTGCTAAAAGCAGGCTGTGTTTGGGTGAGCAGTTTGAATTAAACCTGTAGACTTTATTGTTAGTAAAGAGCTCTTTGTGACAAACGGATGAGTTTCTGACTAAATTAGGTTTTATTTTCTTTCTTTCATGATGTTCACTCAGCCTCATTTTTTGTGTAAAGTGTTTACGAAATCTTCATGTTATCGGTTAAATGTTCAGGTTTTGTAAAACGGATCTATAAGTACAGGTGTCATAATCTTGAGTTGAACTTAACAAAGAACCAGACTCCTTTCAGTCAGTTAACAGTTAAAACTGTGAGTCAAAGACAAACCATAGAAGCTTCTTGTTGATTTTACAAAAAGTTCACTTTCTGAGCCTTTTCCTCAGTGGAGCTGTGAGATGTTCTGTTGCCCTGACTCCACCTGAACACCAGCCTCTTTGTCTCGTCCCTTCCTTTGGCTGGTCGTTCTCATTTTGTTGGTTTTAGACTAGATTAGTTTGTCTCTCTTCTTATTAGGCTGCTTGTGTTGTGCCTGAACTGTGAGGAGGTCCATCCACTGGTTCTGGTTCCGCTGACCGTTCATTTAGCCGATCAATTTTATAGAGAAGACAAAGCGCCCCACATTTTGTTTAAAAAGATTATTTTTAATGAAATATTTAATTATTTTCTGATTGTCTATGAGTTTTAACGTGGGCCTTGTGGAAGAAGATCAGTAATAAAATCTTGAGCATTCAGAGATGAATTTAATATTCGGTTTATACAGTTAATGCGTCTAAACAAGGCTACTCAGAGACGACGTCTAACAGAACAACCCAGTTCGTCCAGTGGACTTCTCAGAAGCAGTCCCTTATTTCCGTACAGTTACTGCCAGACGGTTACTCCTCCCGGGTCCAAAATATTTGTGCCCGTCTTCACCAGAATCCTTTGTCCAGTTCTCCCTAAAGTTTCTCCCAGACAGCAGAGACCCGAAGTCCAACTGGGCTCCTGTTCACTGTGGTGCATTGTTTTTATCCAGAAGGGCGTTTTTAAATTGTCTGCTTCAAATCTTAATATTTTACAAATGTACTGAAGGCAGGTTTGATTTGATGCCATGTTTGTTGGTTATTGGTTTCAGTGTGTTTACCAGCTCACACCTGTCCACATTTGTGTTGTGCACATAAATATAAATCAACGCAGGAACCGACTGACACCACACTCAAATAATGATTCAGAGGCACAGAGAACTAGAAATAAAGTAAAAAAACAACACAAAGATGATCTTGACAACAAACACTCTGCATCATCTTTATCAGAGTTCATGATGTTGGTGATATATTTTATATTTTTCAGGAAAAAGTCCTCCCTGTTATGTAGCTCTGCTCTCATGACTCGTCAAACATCTTCACTAATACTTGTGTCCAAAAATTGGCATAACTAAGAAATAAACGGGAGCCCTACTAGTCCTCAAAATGTCATAATTGTGATTGGCAGCTTAGCTGAACGGTCTCTGATTGACCTTTGACCTTTCTTGTTTTGGTGTGCGTCAAGAATTGTTCAAATGGAGGAGTTTGTTGAGTTAATTTCTGGTTCAGATGTGTACGTCTGTCAGCTTTTATATAAAGCTGTTTATTATTTGGAGTTTAACCTTTTTGTACAGATTTCAGCTCCTCTTCAACAATGAAATATATTTTATAAAATACAATTTTATTCCAGTTGTTTATTGTCCTGCGGGGCTGAAACTAATGCAGTGAATAATTTTAATTGATAAGAAACGATGTTAAATGCTGTTTGTCGTTTTCTGTGACTGAACGAGTTCATGTCGTCTTTTTATTTTCTAACCATCATTCCAGCAGATTTAATTATCACATAGCAGGGAATTAAATGTTCAGACTGTGGCAGGATTCGCTTCTTATGTGCCTCACTTGTTGGAGATTTACGCACTCTTTGAGACTTCTAAATAGCAGTTCCTAATTTTGTTGTTGGGACTCCAATGTGGGTCATGAAACTCAGCAAGTGGGTGTTTGAGAAGGTCTTGAAAAAATGTATTGACTTTAATGTGATTGTCAGTAGCATATTTAGCCTCAAGGAGGCAGACATTGTTCATAAATTGATCACATTTTATTACAGAGGTTCTGTTTGAAATGTTTGTGTAGTTAAAACCAGAAATGGTCGGGTTATCGTCTCTGCGGCTTTTAATTTGGTGGGTAGAACCCTGAAAAGTTGGTGAATCTGATCTAAAAGTTGATCACATTTAATCACACGTGGTCATTTTCTAACAGGAAGATTTTTCTGGAATAAATCCAGCAAAGTTTGTCCTCTTTCTCTGTTAAAGGTCATCTGAAATATCCTGATTCTACCCTGAAGAATGAACCCAAACAGATCATTTTAACCTGACTGAGGTCACATCCAGGTTATAGTGACTCTAATTTATCTGTGGGGATTATTGTAATCTTAGCGGCATTATGTGGACATGTTTACATTTTAATCTCGGAGTTCATCTGTCGACGCGCTGCTGATTCACAGCTCATGACTTCACTTCCTGCGGAGTCAGAGCTGAACAGGACGGAGATAAAGCTCTGATTGGTGGAGAAGAGGAACATTAACAGCAAATTTACATTTTTATAATTCCCCTTAATGAACTGGCAGCTTGTCTTAAAGTGGTTATCTGCTCTGTCAGCTCAGCTTCAGGTAATAATTACTGGTTTTATATATTTTTAAAAAGTTATGTTGAAGACATCGTTTTAAGATAAGAGGTGCAGAGTTTGTTTTTTTTACCTGTTACATCCTGACAGCAGAATGTGGAAATGTAAAACAAACCAACCTCTGGCTCGTCTCTGCCTAAAGAACCTTGAAAACCAACCAAATGCAGTTTGCTGGCTCACAGAGCCCCCTGGTTATCAGGATTTATGGTTCTGTCTGCAGGATTTTTACTGGATTCATATCTGTGCTTCCCAACCCGTTTAATTTCTGACCCACAAAATGAAAACAAGTGAAATTTAAAGTGAACACACATTTCTAAAAAGCCCATTAAACAAGCAGAACAACATTAACGTATGTTATCTTTTTTATATAAAGTATGACTATTGTTTTTATTTACCATATATTTATGAGTTCCTGACTCAGGCTTTAGGAACCAGTATTCTAAACCAGAATGGGAAGAGTGGGAAACTGTCAGGGGAATTTAGGTAAAGGTCATGTTAGTTATCACTAACTAATGTTAAATTAATGTTGAACCATGTGTGTGAGGTCAATAGTCTTTTGTCTACTCGGAGAGGAGCCTGCAGATGCACCTGATAAACTCCAAGGCCTTCTCCGAGTCTTAGCTGGAAAGCCGAGGTCGTCTTGACCTCGCCTCTGTCTGATAAGCGTGTATTATAAATCACTTCCTGTCACACTGTCCGGCACAGATTGTCACTGACGAAGCTCAAAGCACGTAACTTTTGTACATCTGTTTTTAGCTTCCTCCTGACCATCTACCTTTGCAAGTAAAGACTGATGAAAAATTTTTCTCGTGTCCTCAGAGTGGCTTATTTGAGTAAATAGAGATGATGAAATTATTTATTTATCCAACAGAAACTGTAAAAACAGTGTTGACCTGGATTGTTGGATTTAAACAAGGTGGTTCTGTAACATCGTCACAGAAATTTTACACTGAAGTTTTAAAGTTGGAGGAAAATAAACACAATATGTTAAAAAACAAAAGCGGTTTTAAACTCATTTTTTTGTTCTGCATAGTTTATTCTTTTAGCGTTGTCGGAGTAACTGGAGTTCATGAATCTGATTCTCCTGTTCTCCTCCTCTAGCCCCGCCTCTGCATGGCGATCACAGACTGACGGCGGTGGCAGTGAGCAGCCAATCAGCTGAGGCCCCCCACCCCATAGCAACATGGCGTCCCATCAGAGGAACTCTGTCCAGATCCTGTCGAGCCGGGAGCGGGGATCCCAGACCTTCGGCTCTCAGAGGCTCCTGCAGCTGCTGGTGGAGGAGAAGGTCCGCTGGATGAAGTGGCAGAGCCAGGTGGGTTTGAGCACGCTCAGATCGCTCAGACAGGTGGCTCGGGTGTTTCAGTGCAGACAACAATACAAAGTTTACTTATCAGGTCAGATTTCAAAAGGTAGGAAGAAAAATAAATCATTAATTACAGATGAAGTAGATGTTTATAAAATCTTTAATCTCCTAGGACCTGGCATCCACATATGCAAGAGTCCGGGTCTTAGGAGGTTAAAGGTAATTATTGATAAAACAGAACTGATAAAGTTGGAGATAAAAACATGTTTCTAACCCTAAACAAATCTTTAGTTAAAAACAAACTAAAGATATTCAGTTTAATCACTCTGCTTACAGCCTTTTATTACTCCGCATCAATTTAATGGACAGTTCATGTAAATCTAACAGTTGACCTTAGAGAAAATGTTTTTTATTAGAATCAGACGTTTTTTGTCTTAAATGACATCTGAAATGAAATAAATTAAAAAAATTAATGTCAACCTTCCAGGATCTTAGTTCAAACTCTGTTCTTTTTGTTTGTCACTTTTAAACTCAAACCTGTTCAACTCTGAACCATCTGTTGTTCTTTTACCTCATATTAGACAAAACTTTGGGCCCGTTCGGTTCAGTCCGAGCAGTTTCTGTGAGTGATCGATCAACATTTTGTTGAAGTTTTTCTGTTTGGAGAATTAGTCCACGGTTCTGGACTCGGACAGCCCTTTGTGCTTTTTGTTCTGAAACACGGTTCTGGTGTTGCTTTGGGTGGTTCATGTTGCAGGTTCATACTCATCTGACACCTCACTGGGAACGTTGATCACAAACTGTCACCGGTGGAATCAGCCCAGTTCTGTTTGTCCAAAGCATCAGAATTAAACACTGTGATGATAATAATCGGTGTTAAATATATTATTAAATAAACCCAACATTTTTATTGTTATTTAAAGACGGACGGACTTTATTGATCCCAGCCTGTGAAATCCTGTTATTGCAGCAACAGACAAAAAACAAAACGATGTTTAACAGTAAATAATATAACACTCGAATGAATGTCAGTCAGGACAACGTGCAACAAATTGATCGACAGCTTTAGGAGAAAACGAGGAAAATATTACAAAATTTGAACCAAACTATAAGAAAAGACTTACAATGTGAAAATGTGTGTCTGACAGAAAGTGGAGCTGCCAGACAGCCCTCGCTCAACGTTCCTGCTGGCCTTCAGCCCCGACAGGTAAGACACAGAAATACTCCACCTCCAGCTGCCGTGCACACCTGGATACAAATAAGACAGATTCTTGGTGAAATGTATTTTTATCTTGTTTATTTTGAGGTTTTATTATGGAGATTAGCTACAGAACATTTTCATAATTCAATGCTTAAAACAGTTTGATTCCTGCAGCTTCTGTCTGGGGGAAAAAAAAAAAGTTTTAGCTGTTGTTTCACACTTTCTGGCCTGATGGGACGTGAATGCTTCAGCTTTAAAGCCTGACGTGACGCACACTTCACAGCAACATTTAAAAACACTCAAACCGTTCCATTATTAAATATCAAGTTCAAGGTTCTTTATTGTCTTTCACATCACATGTGGTACATGAGGTGGAACGAAAGGGTGTAGTACACATGGTCCCAGTTACATTCAACAATAAATATAAATTGTAAAAGAAACGGTACTAAAGATCTGAGATATAAACTAATACACTAGACTAAGAAATACGCTAAACATTTAATAGTGCAAAACAATACGCCGAACAACAGCAACACGAACATGAGTCTGCGTGAGTACGAATGAATTCAGCAGCATGAGATCAGCAGCATGGATAATCAGCAGCACATATCAGCCATCAAAATGTCATTACACTTTGCTTGCTGCTGAAATATATGAATATACATGAGTGAAGACCAGGCAGAGTCTAATCTTTTAGTTTTGATTTAACTGCTGTTTGTCAGCTTAGTATAACCCAGGGGTCTGCAACCTTTATGATCAAAAGAGCCATTTTTTCGCCTTTGCTCACTACATTAAACACGTCCGGAGCCGCACCAACCTGCTATAACTGTTATCAACTGGTTGCCCATGAGCCACTTTAGATTTGCTGGAGGGGGCTTTTGTGGCCAGTAAGGGTGACATTGTAAAGCAAAAAAAATCTAATGATTTTTAACATTTATTAAGGAAAAAGACCAGATTCTTGTAAACGGTGAGGGGAATCAGTTTTTAGATTTTTTTTTTTAATAAATAAAAAAATATAAACTATGCAGACAGGTCTTCATATAAAGAAATAAAGCTTCAAGTTAAAGTGAGTATGTTTTACTCCTTGTACTCACTTCAGTGTTCATATATTTGCAAAAGAAATGACAGGAAAACTGAACTAATTTTATTGTTTGTATAAACAATAAAATTCAGTTTTCTGTCAGTTTTAGTCAAAGCTTGAAAGAGCTGCTGAAGAGAGACCAAAGAGCTGCATGTGGCTCCAGAGCTGCAGGTTGCAGACCCCTGGCAGATATATTTGAATAATACTGATTTTATATTCATCTAATGATTATTTACCATCTAAAGAGCTAAATATTTAGGAAGAATGGCTGTAATTAAGACGTTTTCTTTATGGTTTGTTTTACTAACTAATAACCTAAAAGAATGAAAGTAAAACCAACAGCCAACTTAATTTTTTTGTGAACTTTATTTCTTTTTTCTCATGTAGGACCCTGATGGCCTCCACACACGTCAACCACAACATTTACATTACGGAGGTGAAGACTGGAAAGTGCCTGCATTCCCTAGTGGGCCACCGTAGAACCCCCTGGTGCGTGACCTTTCACCCCACCATCCCTGGCCTGGTGGCCTCTGGGTGCCTTGATGGCGAAGTCCGGATCTGGGACCTGCACGTGAGTACCCCCTCCCTCCTTTGAAGAACTGGATCAGGTCTGTGGTGGTAACAAATACAACAAAGGCCACAACTCGGTCAGTTTTTACAGATATGGAGCTTAAATTTGTTGCGGTAGTAGCTGAGAGTCATCCCCAACCCATACTGTGAACTTTAACTAATCTGAGTTAATCTGAAAGGTGTTGTCAGATCAGTTTCATCAGAGAAAAAGACAAAAGTTGTCTTGATAAAACATTCCTTTATTTACAGGCTACTGTAGAAACCTGAGTTTATAGAACTATCACAGTTTGAAACCCATGTTTGAGTTCCATTTTTGTTCTGTCAAAAAGTTTGATCGTCTCCCTCAAATTTGACTGACGTTGATGAGCTGAATGTTTTATTTGTTTGGGTTTAAATCCAGAGACGTTTATTGTAGCTGCAGTGGTTTAGAAATACCTTCAGTTGTGTTTATGTTTTTTCTAATTAGCCACAAGCTCCATAAACACAGAAACTGAAAGTTTCTTGTCCTCTGTCTCTGATCTGAAACCAGAGATCCAGTCTTTAAAAACTACCGTAGTGTTTGTTGTTTTGAGCTGTTTTTTTTTTTTTTTTCATGAGTTCAGAGTAGAGTCGTCGTTTCTTTACAGGGCGGGAGTGAGAGTTGGTTTACAGAGAGCAACGTGGCCATCGCCTCGCTGGCCTTCCACCCGACGGCTCAGCTGCTCCTCATCGCCACCAACAACGAGCTGCACTTCTGGGACTGGAGCCGTCCAGAACCGTTTGCTGTCGTGAAGACGGGCAGTGACACGGAGAGAGTCAGGTGAGTCAAAGATGGAGGGTCTCACCGTGTGAGCCACAGTCGGTCAGAATGTCATGATTAAACTTTTAAACACTTCAGACAATAAACAGGACGTTGTTTTGGAAAAATAAATTATTTTACTGAATCAAAACGGCAAAACAAGTTTTTTTAGTTGTTTTGTGCAGCAGGAAATTGGATTTGTCTGATTTTAAAACAGTTGAATTTAAACACCAACAGGATTTGTTTTTGTCTCATTAAAGTTTGTTTTGTGTTTAATGTAGGTTGGTGAGGTTTGACCCTCTCGGTCACAACTTGCTCACAGCGATAGTCAACCCGTCCAATCAGCAGGTGAGTTCTGTGTTCTGGTTCTGTTACTGAAGTTCTGAGAGATTTATGGCAAATATGGCAGTTGGATGCTTCCTTTCAGCTTTCCCTTCATCTGAAGAGGTTTTTATTCCTATTTGTCTTTTGTCCTATACTCGTCCAGTTGAACCAGATTGCTTTAATTGTTCCCGTCTCCTCCGTTGCGCAGAGCGAAGAGGACTCGGAGGTTCCGATGGACAGCGTGGAGATGCCTCACTTCCGTCAGCGCTCCTTCCTGCCTTCCCAGCCGGTTCGCCGGACTCCCATTCTTCATAACTTCCTCCACATCTTGTCATCTCGTGCACCAGGGGCTCAGGGGGGTGTGGAGCAACAGCGGCCTCTCGCTGAAACCGGTAGCAATATCGGGGAATCTCCCAGCGTGCCTCTGACCCAGTACCCCGGCTCTGAACGTGGGCCCCCACTCCCGGGTTGCACCCAGCACCTGGGCCTGATGTGCTTGTGCAACCGCTGCTCCGTCAGTCGGAACCCCTCCCTGGCTGCTTCCTCGGGGGCTCAGCCTGACCCCTCCTCGCTCTCCCCGGCCTCCACCTTCTCGTCGGCACGTACAGAGCCCAGACAGCCCTCATATCACCCTTCCGCCTTCACCACCATCTACCAGAACACCAGCGCTTATCTCAACTCCGTCATCCCCAACACCATGGAGCAGCTCTACAACCGCAGACCGCCAACAGACTGGACCCGCAGCCTGCTGGGCATGAGGGACGGTGGGGTTGGACCAGCCATACTGCCCCCCAGGACTTCCTCCTCTTCCTCGGTCAGCCTCTTGTCCTATCTCCGGCAGCAGGACGGCTCGTCTCACTCCCCCGTCTACACATCTGCCACCGAGGGGCGAGGTTTCCCTCAGCAGGGAGATGCAGGGACCCGAGATGCTGCTGGTACAAGTAGCGGCCACCACCCGTTCTGGGAAGGCTCGCGCGGCACCTCGGCCTCCTTCCGTAATGTCCTGCAGTGCAACCTGAGCCGCTACTTCCTGGAGATCGACCGTATCGACATTGACCCGACTCTGGGGGGCAGCGTTGGGGAGGGCGGCCAGGAGCCGAGCCAGGAGTTGCTGAACAACAACATGGACCCTGATAGACCGGGGCCATCCTCTTCCTCCTCCACCTCCTCCCCAACAATCATCCACTACCAGCCTCCTCTTCCTCCTCCCCCCGCCTCCCATAGCTCGGAGAACAACGTTCCTCCTTCAGCCTCCCGGGGTCACCTGAACCGCTGCCGGGCCTGCCACAACCTGCTGACCTTCAACCATGACTCCCAGCGCTGGGAGCGCACCAACCAAGCCTCCTCCACCTCCGCCTCTGCTCCTGAGCCCCCCTCCTCTTCCTCTTCCTCTTCTCCTTACCCTCCAGCTGTGCCTCTCTGGCAGCCCGAGGACAGCAGGAGGACATTCGAAACTCAGACCCTGGACAGGAGGCTGGTTCCAGAATCCAGTGAGCAGCCGCCACCCCCTCCAGTGGGAGGAGCAGCAACTGTGGCCTTCCCCATAGCCACGCCCCCCAACCAGCCCAGCGAACAGACAGTGGGCTTGGTGTACAACCACGACACGGCACAGTGGGAGAGGGTGTACCGGCAGGCTGCCACTAGCCGAACCGCTGATCCACCGGAGGCCTTAAGCCAAGAAATGCCTGTTGACCCTCCAGACGAGGACTCCCTGAGGAGGTACGACCCGTCTTCATCCTGTGAAACTTCATCATCAACTGAAGAAGCTGCTCTAATCATCCAACGATGTGTTTCTCCACAGGCGGCTGCTGGAATCATCTCTGTTGTCGTTGTCTCGATACGACATGTCAGGATCCAGAGACCACCCCATCTACCCCGACCCGGCCAGGTACGCCCACACACCTGACCCACCTGAGACTTTATCATCAGAAAACAGGTCTGTGTCCATCTCTTTAGTTCAGTTTCTATTAGCTTGTTAACTGCTGCGTTTATTAAAAAAATCTCAGATATTTTATGGACTTTATGCAGTTTAAAAGTTTGACACTTAGACTTGGAGCTTCATGGTTGATTCGAGTCTTTTATTATTTTAATCAACGAGTTGAATTTCTGGCTTCAGCTCATATCTGGACCTGAAGACTGAAGTTTTTTTCCCTCCAGCTTTATGAAATATCTCTTTTTTTTGCCTTCAGACTTTCTCCAGCAGCGTACTATGCCCAGAGGATGATCCAGTACCTGTCGAGACGGGACAGCATCCGCCAGCGTTCTCTACGGTACCAGCAGAACCGCTTGCGGGCCATGTCCACTTCCTCTGACAGCCCGACCAGTAACCCGTCCAATTCCATGGACAACAGTGACGTGGACTTTGAAGAGCTGGAGTGAGTGTTCTTCTTTTTTGTTCATCTTTATGACCCTACCGGTGGGTTCTGTGTGGAAGTTGTTGGAGACGAGCTGTTCGGATCCACGCAGCTGTTACAGCAACCGTTAGTGATGTCAGGAATTATTTTTACCTGCAGGAGGCGGCAGAGACCCAGCAGGTCTGAGTAACAAACCAGGAGACCAGACAGAGTTGCTTTTTTAACGTTCTGAGAGAAACGGTTCAAAAACCAACTGATCTTACCAGAACAGGAGATTATACGATCAAAACCCCTGCAGCTTTGTGTCAACAGACACAACTTTGTGTCTCCAACTAGTTTATAGCAGTCTTGAGCACCTAAACTAACTTCCTGTCAGAGCTCAGAACTTCAGTTATTGTGAACTATTTATTTCAAATCAGTTTTTGAAGTTGGTTTGATTGTTGCTGCTTGTTTTTCTGAAAGTTTTGCAACTTTTCGATCAAATTCAAAGCTGCAGAGTTTTTCACAGAATAACGCATTTCTTTCGACAGATGAAATTGTCCAGAATGTCTCCGTCTTAGCATTAAAGCTTCATGTTCTAAATATTTTTTATTTTTATTTTGCAGTGATAATGGAGACCGGTCAAGACACCGGACGCCACGAAATGCCAGGATGTCTGCACCCTCGCTGGGTCGCTTCGTCCCTCGGTGAGGAGCTCCGTAATCTTGCTGCAGAATTTACTGCTGCGTGTTTTTTACCCAGAGCTCAAATGCAGAACGATTTGGGTTTTTGTCTCACCTCTTTTCCTGTTGTCCTGCAGGCGTTTCCTCCTCCCAGAGTACCTGCCTTACGCTGGAATCTTTCATGAACGAGGGCAGCCCGGTCTGGCCACACACTCCTCTGTCAACAGAGTGCTTGCTGGTAAAAAAAAAAAAAGACACACACCGATCTCAGAAACAACCCACAACTGAACCCTGCTGTTCTTCAATTTATTTTTCACTTTTTCTTTCATAACTCCCATACTCTGAGCTTCAGTGAGAGTTTCTTACAAACAAAAATAAAGATGGGAGGGGGTGGGGGGTGGGGGTTTGTTGACAGGGCAGGGCGCCCTGCTTGTATATTTGTAGGAGAAGCACTGTATCCTATCAGAACATGGCAGGAGCGCAGGAAATCACACATCATGAATACGCTTCTCCCATGCTCCACCCAGGACCACAGTATGCTGCCATGATGGAGCTTGCTGCAGAGGTTTTGTGCATACTCTGGATTATTATGGATTTATTGCGCTCTAACACAAATAACGTGGAGCCAGGTGAGTTTTTGATACTCACCTGAAGACTTCATCAAACCCCTGCAGTAGGGCTGGGCCATATCACATCATTCACGATAATGCAGGTAAAAAAAACGTACCCGGGAAAATATATCATGATATGCTGATTTCATGGCTCAGTGTTTCCCCTACCATTATACAAGCAGGGCGCCCCTTCCCCATTAACAGAACCGAGTGCGCCGCCTACCAAACTGCACCCCCCCCCCCCCCCAACTGTCGGTATTGGGGTAACGCAAACTGCCACGCGCAATACTAGCTAGCTAAAAAGTTACAGGCATCGCTCGCGTTGCCTCTTCCCTCACGCTGACACCCCCCTCCCCCCGCTCGAAAACTGCAGGTACAAACAGTGCTGCTCAGCTGTGTCTCCCAACCCCCCCCCCCACCCCCCCACACACACACACAAATATTGCAGGTACAAACAGCGCACAACTCCAGCAGATAGTGAGAGTGATCCTCCTAACTGGTGAAAAGTGCACGAGGTTAACTTTCCTCATGTTAGCCGCTTGGCAAAAAACTACCTGTGCATCCAAGTAGAGGTGCACCGATAAATCGGCCCCGATTTCCTTAATTTTGGGAAATCGGCCGATGCTTGCATGAGAAACAGATTTTACCAATTTTTTTTTTGTTTAGTTTTTACCAACAGTTGTCTGAACTTCATTTATACTTCAGAGCACTACCTCATGACCAGTTAAAACAAGTTTGTATTGTTTCTAGGATATTGTTCATGGGTATGTTTTTCAACAAAATAAGAATGGAAAATTGAAGGTGCATTGTGACCTTATAACACCTGACGGTGTCGCTTATAAAACAAAATCGATATCGGCCAAAATCTGAATCGGCAGGTCAGACTTTTTAGAAATCTGTGATCGGCCAGAAAACTGCAATGGGTGCATGGGTGCACCTCTACATCCAAACCACTAGTGCAGCGTCTGAAAGTTGTTCAGCACAGGAGGGAACATTGTTACGTGTAATAGGTCTGAAGCCTGCTTCAGTGAATAGGCCTTCGTTCTTGAAGAAGAATCTGAAACTTGATAAATGATAACCAGCTAGATGGCCATGTTCTGATCAGCAATCCTTTCATGCAGCATTTCATTTGTTTTCAGCATTTGTCACAAGTTTTGGAAGTTATAGCTCATTGAAGGCAACATATTTTTTATTGTGTTACATTTATGTTCAACAGATCTTAAGCTTTCATTTTATTTACTGTACTGGTGTGCTGTACACGTCACACCTCCTTATAAGTCGCATCAGTTCAAATATGTCTAATGAAGTGGAAAAATCCATAAATATGTCACTTCGCCAAATAAGTCGCATCTATTATGTGTCACCGCTGACAACCTGGAAATGTGGGCTGGTGTTGTGCCAAAAATCGCGGGAGCATGCATGGGAGGACTTTAACAAGAATTTAACAAAATTACCACTTGAAAACAATTGTTTGCTTGAAATTATAGTAAAGGTGTATCTGTTTAACGTTTGTTTAATAAATGCACTTTGATCAGCTGTTTCAAAAGCCAATACGCAGAAGTAAGAGCTCACAGTGGGACGAGTCATTGCGCATTTCTTTGACATTTAACAAGATGGATGGATGTGGATTCAGCTTGTTTGAATCTGTTTTCTGTCCTCAGGGGCTTCTATCGGAGACGGTCAGTCTGCAGTCGCCAGCAACATCGCCAACACCACCTACCGCCTGCAGTGGTGGGACTTCACCAGGTTTGATCTGCCCGAGATCAGCAACGGTACGACTACTTTGCTGTTCCCTTTTCTGCTTATAATGAACTTTTTAGGGTTCTAAGATGGTATTAAACTGTTGTTCTTCATCTTGAGATGTGAAGAAATCACAGTACAAGAAAGAAATGTCTTCTAATAAAACTGCTAAACCTTTTTCTCCTACAATTTTTTTTTCATGTCTTTAAGGTTTTTATAGCTCAGCAGTTTGATTCTGATTTCTGATTCAGAAAACCTTTTTTGTTTCTGGGTCATCCTTTCTGATTCCTGTCACTGAAACCATCTGTGAACCTAAAGTCTGTAGAAGTTACAGAATCTCTCAGACAGCGGGTGGTGTCACTGAGCTGCAAATGTCAGACTCAACAACAGTGAGAAAATTTATGTTTGTGACCAAGCGGCCTGCCAGTTTTTGAAAATCACAGCCTAGTTTTGTGTGCACGGCTTGTTAAACAGTATTCTGAGCTGTGTCACGTTATGTCGTTACCACCTCCACCCACACGTATCAACGTTTGAAGACATCCTCAGAAATAACCAAACTCCATCAGCAGCTCAGTCAGAATCTAGTCTGCAGACAGTTTGGGTTGACGGGAGTTGCTTTGATCTCTTTTCCAGCTTCGGTCAACGTTCTGGTGCCAAACTGTAAAATCTACAACGACGCCAGCTGTGACATCTCTGCAGACGGTCAGTTGCTGGCAGTTTTCATTCCCAGCAGTCAGCGGGGTTTCCCTGACGAGGGCATCCTGGCCATCTACTCTCTGGCTCCACACAACCTGGGAGAGATGCTCTACACCAAGAGATTCGGTTCGCTTTGACCCTTCAGCTTCCTAAAACTGAATTCAGTTTCAGACCCGGTTCCTAATGATGCTGTGCCCCCTCATCCGCAGGTCCTAACGCCATCTCTGTCAGCCTGTCACCGATGGGCTGCTATGTAATGGTGGGTCTGGCCTCCCGCAGGATCTTGCTGCATCCCACCACCGACCACATGGTTGCTCAAGTCTTCCGCCTGCAGCATCCGCATGGAGGAGAGACATCCATGAGGGTGAGCTGAGTTGCACACACCTCGTTCTGTTCTGGTTCTGGTCAGTGTGTTCTGGAGTTAAGATTTAACCAAATATAGGAACAAAAAAAACTTCTGGTCATTCTTTGTAATAATTGTTAAACTTCAGGATGTTCCAACCTCTGCTTGATCTAAAACCAAAAATAAGATGTTTGTTTTTGTGTTGTTTGTTTGGTGTTCAGATGGTTTTTAGTGTTGTTTACCCCATGGCTCCGGACCAGAGACGCCACGTCAGCATCAACTCGGCTCGCTGGCTCCCAGATCCAGCCATGGGTCTGGCTTACGGAACCAACAAGGGAGACCTGGTCATCTGTCGGCCCGTGTGAGTCTTTATGCTCTTGCCTCCTCTCTAACTGCTGTTTCCAGCATCACAATCACATCATGACTGGATCCTCTGAAGGAAGCAACATTTAGTCTGAGTGAGCAAAGTCCCAGAGGAGGAGGAGGAGGATTGAGTTCACACCAGGGTGAGGTCGGTCCGGGGGCGGGGGAGGCTGCCGGACAGACCCAGTAAACCCAAACGCTCCTGGAGCCAATGCTTGAACACAGAAGGAGTTTATAAAACTACCGTATTTTTCAGACTATAAGGCGCACTTAAAATCCTTTAATTTTCTCAAAAATCAACAGTGAGCCTTGAAATCAGGTGCACCTTATGTATTAATCCTGGTTGTGCTTACTGACCTCAAACTGATTTAATGTTGTACACGGCGTGCAAAAAACTGTCAAAATGTTTTAGTTTTGCTTAATGCACCTTATAATCGAGTGCGTCTTATGTGTGAAAAACAGACCCATTCATTGATATTGCACCTTATAATCCGAAAAATACGATAATAAATCTTCCTCAGATTAGACAATGGTAGAATTCTGGTTTACTGCTTGTAATTTAGTCATCTTATTTTATTTTAATATTTCTAAAAAGCACAAAAACAGGACAGTATGAGGTGCAGACAGGAAACTAAAAACTCAAAAAGTCACTGAAATGACTTGAAACTGACAGTAATAAAAAAATTAAAATGTACTAAAAGCTAACTAATGAAAATCAGTCAAAGTTTTTGAATTTTAGTTCAACTATTGGATTAATTTATTTATTCAAATAATGAAACTGGCCTTTAAAAAATGGATTGTCCCCAAGAAAAGATCAAAACTAATCTGTCCACAGGGACATGTTCAACTCAGGTGCGTCCTGTAATCAACATCTCAGGTGTCTTCAGTCTGTAATCAGTCAGTCTGCCTGTTTAAAGGGTGACAGGTAGTCACAGGGCTGTTTGGTGTCCTGGTGTGTAACACACTAAACACAAGAAGCTGAGGACTCAGGAGCTCAGAAAGAAACGGCGTGTTAAAGGTAAAGACCATCAGCAGCTTGATGTTCCTCTGACTACAACTGCACAGATTATTCAGAAGGTCCACAGGACTGAAGACAACCTCCCAGGACATGTCCACAAGAGGACAGCTGAAGACAAACTGAAGAGACAGATAAAATGAATGGAAACCAAAGAGACCAGAACAACTTCCAGAGAAATTAGAGGTGAACTCCAAGGTCATAGGTCATGGGTCCTCCAACAAGATAATGACATAAAACACAACTAAAAATACCCAGAACTGGATCAGAACCAAACACTGCACAGTTCTGAAGTGACCTCCTGAGTCCTGATCTCAATCCTGTTGAACATCTGTGGAAGGAGCTGAAACATCTGGAAAAGGAACCTTCAGACTTGAGACAGCTGCAGGAGTTTGATCATGAGTAGTGGGACCAGGTGAACCAGAACACCTGAGGACAGGTGGACCAGGACACCTGCAGCCCAGAACCCCTGAGGACAGGTGGACCAGAACCCCTGAGGACAGGTGGACCAGAACACCTAAGGACAGGTGGACCAGGACACCTGAGGACAGGTGGACCAGGACACCTGAGGACAGGTACAGGAGTCTCAGTTATTTTTGTGCAACAAAACATGAAGTTATGTTAGTCCTTGATTTATTTTTTAATTAGTTTGATTTTTAAAGTAATTTCCATTATTCAAGCAGGGTGCCCCGCCCTGTCAACAGAACCAAGCGCCCTGCCTAACGACAAAAACCACCCGATAACTGCCAGTACTGATGTAGCGCTAAGCTAGTGGTTCGCAATACAGATGTGTTGACTAAAAAGGTAAAGAGGTAGCAACAAAGTCCATGCTCAATAATCCAGGTATACAATCCAACATTTTTTCAGTCAGGTCATCTGGACAGTTTCTTTTTTTGTGCTGAAACCTAAAGAGGTAGCGTTCCGTTTCCCTCACGCTGAGCAGTCTCCCACTGTCCCCCACCCCCGTCAACAAAAAAATCACAGAAGATATGAGCGCCCTGACAAGGCAAGTAAGCCAGGGAAAACACCAAATTCCATTAAACTAAAATAAAATAATTTAATTGGTTCATTTTCTTTTTTTTTTCTTTGTATAACTTTTGTCAGTTTCAAGTAATTTCAGTACGTTTGAGTTTTTAATAACAAAAGGAAAAAGACGATGGATGGACGGAACCAACAGATTTGTTTAGTTTAGGTCAACGTCACCTCATCTTTTGCTCCCTCTTTATGGAAAAGCCCAGGTTAATGTGGGTTTGCAGCTCTGATTTGTTGCTTTTTCTCTTGCTGAGCCTCCCCCTCCTCCCCCACTCCCCCCACAGTAATGTGATTTTCTTAATCAGCAGGAAGAGCATTAATTGGAAAAGACCCATTTAGAGCTTTAACGAGGTTTTGGTCTGAGTGATTCCACGAAGACGTCCCTCCTCCTCATGTGAAGCTTCCTGAATGGAAGTAAATTAACTGTGTGTGTGTGTGTGTGTGTGTGTGTGTGTGTGTGTCCAGGTTCTATCGGAGCGATGGTGAGAGTCCAGCAGAGCCGAGCAGCGAGCCGTTATTCTCCGTCAACAACAGTGGAACCAGCCGCACCCGAGGTTCTGACAGACCAGGGTGAGACGTTTGTCCTGTGACACGAACTGTCTGTTCTGTTACTTAAAATAAAAACAAAGATGCTGTTCTTCAAGGTCGGACCTCTTCAGCTTTTATTTTTGTCAGAACACTTTGAGTTTAAATACAAATAATGTGACTAGTATGAAATAAAGAAGACAAAGATACAACTCTGTGGGAAGAAGAGATTTTTAAATCACTAAAGAGGAGTCTGTTTTAAACCCAATCTAAACTGAGATGTGATCCAGAACCATCCATCCATCCATCCATTATCTTTACCCGCTTATTCCATTTTGGGTCACGGGGGTCGCTGGTGCCCATGTCCAGCAATCACTGTGCGAGGGGCGGGGTACACCCTGGACGGGTCGCAAGTCCATCACAGGGCCACATAGAAACAAACGAGACAAACAACCATTCACTCTCTCATTCACACCTAGGGACAATTTAGAGTTACCAATCAGCCTAACATGCATTTTTTTGGACTGTGGGAGGAAACCGGAGCACCCGGAGAAAACCCACACATGCACGGAGAGAACATGCAAACTCCACCCAGAAAGGCCCCTGGACCGGGGTTTGAACCAGGGACCTGCTCGCTGAGAGGCAGCAGCTCTACCAGTTGCGCCACCGTGCTGCCGTGATCCAGAACCATCTACAGAAAATGTTTGGTTCTGGTTGGAATGGGTCTGAGTTCCAGAGGTTTGAACCCACTGAAAACTCTCAATGTTTCCTGGAAGTCGAAGCCTGTAGATGACCGGGGTTGGGAGCTGTTGGGTAGGAAACCCAATCAGAACCACATTTTGATGTCTGACCCAGTCCTGGTCCTAATCAAAGAGTGACCACACAAAAACTGAAGGTTTAGGCCGTCTTCTTTTTTCCAAAGGAGTTCCTGTGAACAGGAAAGCTATTGGCTCAGTTAGCTGTCAGTCCAAAGCCAAGGATGCTGGGTAAATTTAGAAATCACTGTTTCCATGGAAACCAGACAGATGAGAGAGAATACGGATAAAAACCCTGTGATCAAAGAGCAACCTTTGAGATGTACAGCGTTTGCCTGGAGACAGGACGGAATGCAGGAAAGTGAAGACACAAGAGACCAGCGTCCCCTAATTGCTGGTTCCAATACGGTAGCCCCGCCCCCCTGTGTAAACAAATGGGACATTTTTCTGACTAACAAAACTACAATGCACTTCAGATACCGGGGTAGTCGTGCTCAGGTGTTGGATTTATTTGATTCACTTAAATCTTACTGGCTGTTCAAATACTCGAGGCTTAAAGAAATGTGACGTTAGTCTGTGATTGTTGGTGAGATTTATGAAAAACAGGATATTTATGAACAAAGACTAAATGGTTTTGCAGGATGATGCGCATACATGTAATAAATTGCTCCACTTTACAAACCGTAAACTACAGTTAATTTACTGATGTAAAATAACTCATTTTGTGAAGGAATGCTCATCACCCACCTTATATGCCAAAGTTTTAGTTCATCTTATGCTGACAAATAAGTTACTAAAACGGGCAAAAACATTATTGCTCGCATTTTACCTGACAGGTAAACAGGTGATCAAAATTTAAAAAATGTCAAACTTGAGTCGAGAAAACTGGAAGCCCCAGACATGCCGTATTACAATTTTATTACATATTTTCACTTTATTCTTCATTTCTTTTAGTTTTTCTGTGTCAGCTTATCTGAAGATATCTCTTTTTTTATATTATTTCTTGTGACATTGATTTGCCACATTTTACTTTTACTAACCAATAAAGGATCTTGAAGTTTGTCCACCCAGCTCTGTGCACGTGACTGTAAAGTTCTGAGTTTTACGATATGGTTGACATGAAGAGGAGGTTAAATCAGAGGAAACATTTGTTTTTAATCTTTATGATCACAACGTGATTCTGTTTCAGACCAAACCGCTCCGGCTGGAGGCTGGACAGGGACATGGGACTGATGAACGCCATTGGTCTTCAGCCCAGAAACCCCGCCCCTTCAGTGACATCACAAGGAACCCAGACACCGATCGTTCAGCTGCAGAACGCAGAGACTCAGACGGAGAGGGACCTGTCAGAGCCCAGCGTCTCCCAGGCGCCTCCCAGTAAGAATAATTTTCAGCCTCTGCCTCACTGGTGACGGTAAGAATGTGTCAGAACCTGAAGCACATCCAGGACAGTTTCCTCATTCAGATGCAGTTTGATGATCTTCATCAGATAAGATCCAGTTTCAAAATGAAGTACCAACTTAAATTGAATAATCGTCTGTTAATCTTCAGAGTATTTCTTTCACTGAGAGGTCAGAGGTGGGATCAGCAGTCAATCACGTTAATAAATATAACTAACGTTGTGTTTTTAAGAGAACACTGATGTTTCAGTTTGGAAGAAAACTGTAAACAGAACCTGTCAAAGACTTCTTTGGTGGTGGGCTAGCAGGAGTAGAGCACCACCATGGTGTCCATGTTTGTCCGTTTGGGAACATCATCGTCCACCACCAGCTGTGGCTCCTAGACAGGCCTCAGGGCCCCCATCTGTGCCTTTTTCTTAGCGCGGGTTCCACCTTTTACTCAGGCCTTGTCCACACAGAAACAAAAATTTTCAGAGACTTTATTTTGTTTTTGGTCATTTTTGAAAAATTCCCCATTTCTAAGAATAACTTCATCCACAAGGAAACATGGGAACCGTAAGTTTTCCAGCCCTGTAGGTGGCGCTGTGACGCAGCCAGGTAAACCCACTAACAGGAAACGAGGTGCGGAACATGAAGCCTATATGCTGCGTGTGAAGTGTAAACACGAGAAAAAGAAAAGACCTTGGTTTGAAGGTTAGAGGCGGGGCTATGACATAATCAAAAGGTTGTGTTCTGGTCATCTAAAAAAACATTTTCAGACTTAATTTTTTAATCTTTTTTCTATTTATATTATTTTGGTTTCCTAAAATGCTGTTTCCTTGTGGATGCAAGGCTGAAAAAAAAATAAATAAATAAAAAAATATATATAGAAGCATTCCCATGTGACAGCCCCTCAGTTCAGTTATACTTTTTTCTTCTTTTAAGCGGTTTGTTCTGTTGGTTCTGGTAGAAAACGTTGAACTGGACCTGTGTGTGTCCTCAGACGTGCCTCCTGAAACTCCGTCTACGAGTCGAGCAGCTCAAGTGCCGCCGGAGACGTCCGAGAGCAGCAGAGTCCAGGACAGCGAGCAGCCCGAGACTTCAGCCGAGTCCAGCTCATCAGCAACTGGTTCCGGTAACTGTCTGAGAGTTCTGTGTCTGTAACGGTCAGAACCTTCGTAACATATTTAGAAAATAAAATTGTCTTTACTGTTTTGATTTTCTCTGAAAATGTTGTTTTGCTGTAATAAACAGTTTTTAGGTTTCCAACCGCTGAAACTTGTTGTTCCTCACAGGTCCGGTTGAGACTGCAGAGTTCGGTTCTGGTGAAGACGCTCTGGCCCGGATCCGGCGGCTCATCGCTGAGGGCGGCATGACGGCGGTGGTCCAGCGGGAGCAGAGCACCACCATGGCGTCCATGGGCGGGTTTGGGAACAACATCATCGTCAGCCACCGGATCCACCGGGGTTCCCAGACGGGCCCCGGGGCCTCCAGGCCCGCAGCCGACCTGTCCTCGCAGCCCCTCCTCCTCGCCCCGCCCATCTGGGGCCCCTCGGTGCTGCGGGGCCCCCCGCCTCTGACCCTGTCAGTGACGGTGGACATGGACGACGTGTTTGATGGAGGACGGACAGACGATGACTCCCTGCCGGGTCCTTCATCCTCCTCCCTGCTGCTCCCCTCCCCCCCCTCCTCCTCATCATCATCCTCCTCCTCTCACAGCCTCCTTCCTGGCAACGAGGGGGGGGCGAACAGTTACCCCGGCGACCCGTATAGCAGGTAGTCCTCTGATTGGCCGAGAGACGCACGGTGCTCCTCAGAGCCTTAAAGAAATGGGTGCTGCTTTGACTCTGCACTGGGTCTCCCCCCCCCCCAGAAGAGAAGGGAGGTGACAACCCTGCCTCCCACCTCCTCCCCCTCCTTGCTCTTCATTAAAAATCTGAACCCAAACAAGATCATTCCACATTCCCCTCCACGGCTGATCGATCCACGTTTAGTTTCCACACAATGAAGTGCCATCTTTTGAGGAGGGGAGGAAGAGGAGCTGGGGGGGGGGGGGTCCTCACACATTTCCTGCACTCGGTGCTGTGAGATGTCGAACCTGATGTGAAGTCGTGACCGGAGTGTTTTTGTATCGTATGTATTCGTAAGTCTGAAACTAGGATGGGGGGGTTGAAGGACGCCGCTGCGTCCCGTCGGGGTGAGGGGGGGACATTGGACATTAGAGGACACTGACAGCAGACTGAAGGCGAGGTGAGACTGAACAAACTGAACCTGCTGCAGATCATCAAAGAGTTTTAAAAAAATCTGTTCATGACGGGAAACATTTTCTGTCGGGGGCGGGGTTTGAGGGGGAGACGACATAAACTGTTACACCCCCCCCCCTCCTAAAAACACACAGTTGCACTACAGTGTGTTTGGTGCTACATGAGGCCTGAACAGGTGTGTGTGTGAGAGAGAGCACGTTTTTAATGAATGACTTTCATCCATCATGTGTGAACAAACTGTATTAATGTGTAAAATAACAAGATGACCTCCTGATCCGTTCAGCTTTTTAATTTTCCTTCCAATGATCCAGACGTCCTGGAACCTGTTGACGTGATCCGGATCAGCAGTTCTCCAGACTTTCTAAAGATCCTTTTGTTTGGACTGTGGCTGCTTCTCTTTTCGTTTCCCCTCAGTCGTCGCTGCTTCTGTCTGAAAACTTTTAAAAAGCAGATCAGTGACTGCAAAATCAGTTTTTCAGTCCTAAAATGCTTGAAGTTCTGTTTTATATGATACTCGAAATAAATCCTCTCAAGACCTGAACCAGGACCTGAGAGGTCCTTCATGTGACCATCAAGGAAATCACCTTGTTGGAGTGAGAATCCTGTTTTCTGTCGAGCTCCGTTATCGTTTGTTTTTCAGATAAAGTGGGAGCGCACGGAGTCTGAGCCGCTCGGATCAGTTTCTGTGGGAGTTGCGACAGTTGGAGACTAAATCCTGAAAGTTTGAGTTGAAGCTCGCGTCTTGTTTTCTGTGCACGGCTTGTAAACTGTTTTCTGTTCTGAGTGCACTTCAGAACTGAAGGAAACCGATTCGGATCAGTTTTTAAATTGTTGTTTTTTACCGACCTGGTTTTTGGACCTGAATGTCTGCCTCAAGTTATGAGGAGTGGTGGTGCAGAGGTTAAAGGTGGGTTTGTGATCGGAAGGTCACAGGTTCAACTCCCTGGACTGACGACATCAAAATGTGGGTGGGGAAGGTGGAACACCCACACCTGCCTCCACCCTTGTTTGCCCCACTTTGGGCCCTTGAGCAAGGCCCTTAACACCATCTGCTCCCCCAGGTTCCCTAGATAGCAGCTCCCTGCTCCACACAGAGGGCTGTGGTGGCTCGGTGGTCTGTGGTGTCAGGAAGGGCATCCGGAGTAAAAACAACCTCCAAGTCTTCGTGTGAGTTAGTTTGCTGTGTCCCCTGAAGAAGGGAGCAGCTGGAAGAAGACGAGAACTGTCGGCCTCGGGTCGTTTCTGTCAGGAGAGCTTCATGCAGGACTCAGAAACACCTCCCTGCGAACATTTCGAGACCTTTGAGAGACCGTGAGTTCTAGTCCGGCTCAGCTCTGGTTCCTCCTCAGGTCGGAGTTTAAAACGTTTTTCTGAAACTGGGAGGAAACGCACTGAAAGTCTGGAGATCTGTTGATCCAGAACCACTAACGGCAAAGTCTGGATCATTGGAAAATAGGACTGGATCAGTGGTTCTGAACGGACCTTGTCTCATGCGAAGCTGCTGACGGTTCTTTTCAAGCAGAATGGGTCGGGTCTTCACGCTGCTTCTTTCAGCTTCAAAATATTAAAACTCAGTTTGACTTCTGCTCCTGGAGATGCCTCTTGATTGTCATCCAGAATACTGCTTGGACCCGGTTCTGGGTCCAGTCCAGATCTTGTTCAGCTTTAAAACTCATCGGAACCGGTCCGTTTCACCCGCAGCAGTCTCGTCTTCTGAGGACAGGAGTCGTGCCGTGTTTCAGATGGTGAAGAACATGGTGAAATTACATACTGATCACATCTGGTGCCGGTCCGAACGCTGCTTCAGAGACGCTGAACGACTTTAACAGCCAGAATCCACAAAGCATCATGGGAGTTTTTATTAAACCTCTTCTGAAAATTTCAGGTTTGAAGGAAAAATAAACTTGTTTGTTTGTTCGTTCTTTGGTTTAAGGAGCAGCAGAACAAAACCTGCAGCTCAGCTCAACTCTGGATCTGGACCTGGTTCTGAAGAAGCAGCAAAAATTGGAGTGAAGTTTGTCCCAGTTTAATGTGGCAGAAGGAACGGCCCTGTTGGACCGGTTCTGACGGGTGTTTAGAAAGGGTACGAATCGGATCTAAAAAAAACAACAACCTCAAACTGCAGCTTCTTGGGAGATCCATCAGATCAGAACCAACAGATCAGAACCCACAGATCAGACCTCCGTCTGTCGGATCAAACTTGAACCGACTTTTCCTCTCAGACACCCCCCACCACCGTTGAGCCCAGAGGTGCTGGAGCTGTCGGGTCCATGAAGCAGCAGCTGTGTGTTCAGAGACGAGCGCTCCTGGTTTTACTTGATCAGTGAATGTTTCAAACTGTGTGTGTGTGTCTGTGTGTGTGTGTGTGTGTGTGTGTTCAGGCTGTGCAGTTAGAACCTGCAGGTACCGCCGTGTCACGATCCGACTGGACTTGAGACGTGCTGTAATTAAAGCGTTTCTCCTGGTGAAGACTTCCTTCTTGTCGGGACTCGTGTGTGACGGATGTGACGACGCTCTGGTGTCGTAGCTCAAAGGTGAAAACACGACGACTGCTGCTGAGTTTGTTCTGCAGGAACGGGTTTTACACGAAGTGAACGTCCTGCAGGTTTCATTAGGATGAAACGGGAAATCCAGAGTTCTGGATCTGATCTTAGAGTTCCTCCCTGAGGAGAGCGGTGATGAGGAGCGTCTACAGTAGGAGGATCATAGACCTGTCAATCTTCCTGCAGGTGAGTCTGTCCAGGTCAGATCCTGAGGCCCGTGTTGTCCTCACAGCATTTTATTAATGTTTAAACTTGAGGAGCGCTAAATTTTTAAAAACTGCCTGAATTCAACAAAGAAAAGCTCCAGACAAACAAACTGGTGCTTCTGCTGTGGATCCTGGTGATCTTACGGAAAGAACCGGTTCTGTTCGTAGCTGGACACATCAGAAATAACTGAAAAACCAAACGTTTCATTTTAAACAAGTGACTTTGTAATTTTTAATCCTTAACTGAAACAAAATGGAGAACATTCTGAAGAGTTCACACGATGGAATAAATCCCTGGAAGGAAGCGACGTTTGCTCTGCTGCTGTGCTGGACTGTCTCAGGCTGTCCTGCTGTCCACTGGAAGGATGGTCTGGGATCAGCTGCAGGAGGCGGAGCTTGGACTCTGAAGATGAGGAAGGTCCAGACCTTCCTCAGCTTATAAACAGCTGCTGATGGTAAAGATGATGAAGAAGAGGATGTGACGGTGGCACTGAGCGGCGGTAAGACGAAACCTTTTAACTGCTGATCAAAATACTGAAGGTTGATCACAGATCTGAAATCAGGAAAATGTTCAGCTTCTTTATTTCTGAATGATTTCCCTTTAAAGATTAATTTGTTAAAATTAACTTTAGGATTGTTGGTCTATTCAGCAACGCCTCGAAAATAAGAAAAATAAAATCTTAATGAGTAAAAATTTCAAATTAGAAAACGATAAGAGAAATCAAAGTTCTGTTCAGGAAGGATTCAGTAAATAAACATTAAAGTTTGGGGAAAATGAAGTTGAATAAATTATTTGGCAATTACAGCAAAGAGTTTGTTTATAGAATACAACTTTTCTGCAGCAGAAAGCTTAATCTGTTCGGATTATCAAATTTGTTTGTTTTATTTACTGTTTATTTATATTTATTGTTTATTTGCAAACGTCATAAAGAAACTTACAGACCAGGTTTTTCTTCTGAACGCTGCTGAAGTTTAAATATCGAGTGAATTCATCTTTGATGCTCATAAAATTTGTTCGTAAATAAATTTAAACAGATTAACTTCTTAATTTTGATAATCCAAGCCCAGAAAATTCTGCCTTTTTTTTTTCCACAAAAAAATAATTAAAATATCTTGTACTGATGAAGTCAAATGTAGAAATATGATTTTTAATGTGCTTAAGATCAGGCTCTGGTTCATCTTTGTAGCTTTAAAAATAAAATGTGTTTTTCAAACTGATGCGGATATTAAAACATGTTGGTCAGGAATAAATCACGGTGCTATTTGTAACCAAATTAATAACCTTTTCAGTGTTTTATCTGAAATGAGCAAGTCAGTTTATTTACAAATAATTCATCAATAAAACCAAAAAAGTGAGTTCAGGCAGGACGGAGAGGATGGAATAAAGTTTCAGGAGGGATTTGAGACAAGTGTGTCAGCAAAGGTCAAAGGAAAAGTTTATAAGACAGCAGTGAGACCAGCTATGTTGTCTGGTCTGGAGACAGAGACATGGACAAAAAGACAGGAGACAAAACTGGAAGTGGCAGAAATGAAGATGATGAGGTTCTCCTTAGGAGAGACAAGGATGGATAAGATTAGTAATGAGATCATCAGAGGTACAGCACAGGTTGAACAACTGGGAGATAAAGTTAGAGAGACCAGACTGAGACGGTTTGGACATGTCCAGAGGAGGGACAGTGGTTTGGACTTGTCCAGAGGAGGGACAGTGGTTTGGACATGTCCAGAGGAGGGACAGTGGGTATATTGGTAGAAGGATGTTAGAAATGCAGCAGTCAGGAAAAAGACAAAGAGGCGATATATGGATGCAGTTGGAGAGGACATGGAGGTAGATGAAGTGAGGACAGAGTGAGAGGGAGGAGGACTCGCTGTGGACCCCTGAAGAGGGAAAAGTCAAAAGAAGACGATAAAAACAAAAAACTAATAGACGAAATCCACCTGAAAGTCAGAGCTTGAAGAGGAAGGAAGAAAGTACCAGAACATGAGCCCAAATCTTTAGGAATTTCCATGTTGCAGGTTTTTTGTTTGTTTGTTTGTAGCTTAGTTATTGTTGTTGTTTTTAATCAGGATCAAGTACATTCAGCCTTCCAGGCAAATCCTAAAAGCTTAAAGATCAAAACACATGCACTTCAGTTCTGTACCTGAAGATGATTTTCTCAGTTCAAACTGAACACAGAGCTCCGAGCGTCAAACAGCAAAACAAGCTCGGCTCACATGCAGATTAAAATCCCTCCCCTCCCTCCTGAGGATCATCAGGGTCTCTGTCTACTAGGATCTCCTCCCTGATGACCGTCAGGTGGTGGTGGGGGTTAATCTGCAGCTCAAACAGTTTTCGAGCCGATGAAGGCAGATTATTTCAGACTATAAACTGAATTTATCCTTTAAAGTTCAGGTTAGGGTAATCTAAACCTGATGTGTTTGTTGTAGGGGACATGGGACTGACACCAGATCTCAACTCTTCTGATTGGCTCCGCCCATGTCTGAATGCCTCTTCCCAGTCTTCAATCAGAGCCCCATATCCTTGGAACACTGCTCAACTGATCTTCATCGTCATGGTAACCGGCTCCCTGAGCGTGCTTACGGTCTTGGGCAACACACTCGTCATCCTTTCCTTCAAAGTGAACCGTCACCTGCGGACACTCAACAACTACTTCCTGCTGAGTCTGGCGGCGGCTGACCTGCTCATCGGCCTGATGTCCATGAATGTGTACACGCTGTACCAGCTGCGGGACCACTGGCCCATGGGGGCCCTGATCTGCGACATGTGGCTTGTCCTGGACTACGCGGTGAGCAGCGCTTCTGTTCTGAACCTGCTGCTCATCAGTTTGGACCGGTACCTCTGTCTGACGCGGCCTCTCAGCTACCCAGCGTGGCGGACAGGCCATGTGGCCGGTCTGATGATTGGCGCTGCCTGGCTACTGTCCTTCGTCTTGTGGACCCCCGCCATCCTGTGCTGGCAGCGAGTCGGGGGCCGGCGAGCCGTCCCAGATGGAAAGTGTTACATTCAGCTACTGGCGAGCCCAGCCGTCACTCTGGGAACCACGCTGCCATCCTTCTACCTGCCAGCACTGGTCATGATAGGACTCTACAGCCGCCTGTCGGCAGCAAGCCACCGCAGACTGAGCGCGCTCCAGGTGGAGCGGGGATCGCTCAGGTCCCCCAGTCCTTCCATTAAAGACTTCCTTCTAAAACGGCGCAGCTGGGCAGCCAGTGACACAGGCTCAGACCGGTCTCAGAGTTGGAGAAGAGCGTCCATGGTGGAGACGATGGACAACTGGAAACAACTGGTAGGTGCAGCTCACTTCCTGTTTGTGAGAACTGTTCAGCAGCAGATGCTTCTAGTGTGATGTCACTAACGTGACCCGTCTGTTTCCTCAGCAACGTCCGTCTCGTGCCGCCTCGTACCACGCAGGAGACGGAAGCTCCAACAAGACAGAAAACGACTCCTTGTCCAACACCGACCCCCATGGCACAGCCTCAGCGGCCTTCTGTCCGACTTTCACCTCCCAGGAGAGGAGACGGCGGCGTGTCCTGGCAAGGGAGAGGAGGGTCACCAACACCATCCTGGCCATTGTGCTGGCCTTCATCCTCACTTGGACGCCATACAACGTCATGGCCGTCATCGCCGCCTTCTGGCACATCCAGATCCCCAATGCCCTGTGGGCCACCGGGTACTGGCTGTGCTACGTGAACAGCGCCATCAACCCTTGCTGCTACTCGCTGTGCAACGTCACATTCAGGAAAACCTTCTGCAGCCTTCTGCGCTGCCGCGGAGGGAAGCTGCGTTGATGCCACCGCCGCTTCTTCAGGTTTCATCATTCAGGCGTACCAGACTGAAGGAGGATTTTAGCTTCAGCTCCACATTAACCTGTTTTTTACTTAATCACAGATTTGTCAACGTTCACCTGAAATTCTTGCAACTTTCAGTGAAAACAGACTTGTTGCCATGGCAACACAGGCTCTCTCAAACTTTACAGAGTGGACAACACAGAGAAAGAACCGAATCGGCAAGAGTTCTGTCCTCCGATTTATAAAGTGAAAACCTGCAGGTACGCAAAACCCTGATCCTTCATGAGATCCAGACTTGTTAGTATACATGTATTTTGTGGACTTGCAAAAGTCTTTTGACTGTGTTGTGGTGGGGGTCTCTATACAAGTGGTGCAAAAGTGCAGTTCACATTGCCGGCAGTAAGCCGGACCCGTTAAAGGTGAGAGTTAGGCTTTTCTATGCGTTTCCCAATGCAGCCAGGAGGTGGAGTCCGGTTCTGTGGTTTGCAGATTGATGATTGAGGCGGGGGGTTGGTCTTATACCTGAGTGAGCTGCACAAGCAGCATCCATCCATCCATTATCTTTTACCCGCTTCTTCCATTTTGAATCACGGGGGTCGCCGGTGCCCATGTCCAGCAATCACTGTGCGAGGGGCGGGGTACACCCTGAACGGGTCACATGTCCATCACAGGGACAAATGGAGACAAACGAGACAAACAACCATTCACTCTCTCACTCACACCTAGGGACAATTTAAAGTTACCAATCAGCCTAACATGCATGTTTTTGGTCTGTGGGAGGAAACCGGAGCACCCAGAGAAAACCCACACATGCACGGAGAGAACCTTCAAACTCCGCCCAAAAAGGCCCCTGGACCAGGATTTGAACCAGGGACCTGCTCGCTGAGGCAGCAGCTCTACTAGTTGCGCCACCGTGCTGCCCGCACAAGCAGCATAGTTTATTTAAAATAATCAAGCGCGACCAAAACCGCCATTTCTCTTTTAGAACGCTTAGAGGGTTTAGAACATTAAGAACATTGCAAGAGTGTGGGAGGTTTATAAAGCCTTAATATATATATATAAATACTAAAATATAAAGACCCTACTTTGCAAATGTTCACCTATCATGGGGGTGTCTGGGACGTAACTCGTGTGATAAGTGAGGAACTACTGTACAGTGTTGCTGTGGGTCGTCATCATTCTCTCAGTAATCTGTTTGCAGCTGTTTAATCCCACCAGTGAGCGGTCGCAACTAATATCAGTTCATCACATTACTGAGCCGCAGCTTCATGGTTTTTTTTCCTTCACGTTGGCACTGTTGCTACCTCAGTCAGCAGCACAGAGGCTCATCAGAGGTAGGCTGACTCCAACCCCCCTTGGTGTCTTCTGAATGAACTGAAGCAGCCAGAACATGTCTCAGTCCCGAACTGAAGCGTCTTTTGAATGAGGCTTATGTCTCTCAGCTGGTTTGTGGACATCTTTGAGTTCTCCCAGAAGATCTGGAAGAGGTGGCTGTAGAGAGAGAGGTCTGGACCTCCCTGTTCAAGCTGCCGCCCCCCGATGGATGGATGGACGAATACACAGGTGATGATCATCCACTTTTCATAGCGGTGGGTGATAAATGTCTGGATCAGGATCAGTGATTATTTGATATCAAGCAAAAAGAACTGAACTGTTTGGGTCTAAATTCTGTGGGAAACAATAAGTTCAGAAGAGTTTAAATGTTATGTTTAAGATGACGTTAATCTTTTTGGATTTTACATTCATTTTACGTTCAGCGTATCTGAAGTAGAAACAATCGTTTGTCTGTTCAGCCTTTCTTTGTCTAAATTTAAAAAAAATAAACAAGTCTAAACTTAAATAAAAACAGAAAACAACGTTCAACATTTATTTTATTTTGTACAAGTTTCATCAATAATCTGTTGTCAAAAAGTTTTTCATTAAAAAAAAGTGGTCAGGAGGAAAAATGCCACAGAACTGTCAGAACTGTTAAACTACGGGCTACTGGTGGAGTTAAATCATCTAGAAAAAGAGACCAGAATGTGGGAGGAGTCAGGAGGAGGAGCCAGGAGGAGGAGGAGGAGTCAGTTTGAAGTGTCTGCATGAAGACGATTGTTCAGCTGCTTCGTGTTTTGTTCTTCAGTTGGACTTCTTCTCTCCTGAAAACAAAAATACATCAAAGATCGACCAGAAACTGCAGAACGGGTGAGTCAGACAGGTGAGTCAGACAGGTGAGTCAGACAGGTGAGACAGAACGCTGTCCCAGACTGAGGCATCTTGTGGATTAGGTTTAGGTCTCTCAGCTGGTCTGGGTACATACTGGAGTCCTCCCAGAAGAGGTGGCTGTGGAGAGTGAGGTCTGAACGTCCCTGCTCAAGATGCTGCTCCCATGATGGATGGATGAACACAGGTGAGACCAGAGCCCATACAGGTGAGACAGGTGAGACCATAGCCCATAAAAGTTGAGACAGGTGAGACTAGAGCCCATAAAAGGTGA